ATTAACCAAAAACTCGAATTCACAAAATTAGCATCTTCGAAAAGTCGTCCCCGAAAAATCACCGCCAAAAGGTTTGCTTCTTTCAATATATAGCTTTTTTAAACAATGGTGAATTAAAATTTAAAATGCACAAAATTAGCACTTTAGAAAAAATGTGCCATAGTTTGTGCCAAGGTGTCACATTTTAGAATTATGCTACTTTCATTTTATTTTCATTGTACCTGAAGGACCAATAATTTTGTGTTGTCTGTAGCTTTGAGTATAATTGTATGTGCCTTTGTATGGCTTGTATGAACCGAAGTTTCAAGTTTACGACATAAGCATCTTTTAAAATGTCTGCCTTAATTTAGAAGTTTGCTGTCTTCATTATTTGTTTTTTTTTTTCAAAGTATGATGTATTGAAATTTTAATTCACAAAGTTAGCATTTATAAAAAAATGTGCCAAGATTTGTGCCAAACTACCAAAATTTAGAAATTTGCTACTTTCATTATTTATTTTCAATATGGGGACTTTTCATTTAGAATTCCTTTCAAAATAATAAAAGTTCAAATACCCAAAATTAGCATCTTTGAAAATGTCTATCAAAATTTTTATAGCGTTCTATACTTTCATCGTTGGTGTGAATGAATGAATAATTGAAATTTAGAAGCTTGCAACTTTCGTTCTATTGTCTATTGTTTTGCAGTGCATTGTACGCTATATTTTTGCGCCGACATTTGAGTCAAAACGACCTCATTTTTGCGCCTTGTTTTGCATTATTTTTTGTGTCTTGGTCAAAATAAGATTGTTGAAAATTCAAAGCCACGAAAAAAGCGTATTCGAAATTTCTGCCAAAATTTAGAAGTTTTTGTGCCAAAATTTGTGCCAAAACTGCATGATTTTTTATATTATGTTTTCAATTTTTCTAACGGATTGCATTTTTTTTATGCCTTAGTCAAAGTATGGTGAATTGAAATTCGCCTGTTTGAAGAAAAGATGCCAAAATTTTTGACAAAGTGCCAAGTTTTGAAGTTTTTTTTCCATTATATTGTGTACAGTTCATTGTACATGCAAGACCAAAAAATGTTTTAGTGACTTTAGTGACTTGAGGATGAACTCTGTGTCTTGCTCATGGTATGAATAGTCGAAGATTCAAATTCACAAAACTAGTATCTTTACATTATATTTTTTGTGACAAAACTGCATGATTTTTATGCCTTGTTTTCAATTGTTTTCAATTTTTCTTACGTATTGAATGTTTTTGTATGTAATGGTCAAACTAATGGAAATTTTAAATTCACAAAAATAGTATCTTTGAAAAAGTTTGCCAAAATAAAAGAAATTTGATACTGTCATTTTTCTTTTGTGCCAGTTTATGATTAATTGAAGATTCAAATTCACAAAATTAGAATCTTTGAAAATGTCTGCCAAAATTTAAAAATTTGTGCCAAATTGCCAAAAATTAATTAAATAGTTTGTAATGCATTGAACATTCAAGACCGGTACATTTTGGAGGCCTGTAGCTTAGAGTATAAATTTGTCTGCCTTTTTTGTGTAGTTTTTTTTAAACAACCAAATTCACAAAAAAAGCATCATCTGCAGAGGTTTTGAATTTTGCTACTTTTATTATATTATTTTGTTTTTTTAAAGTATAAGGAATTGATAATTCAAATTTACAAAAGTTATTTCTTTGAAAAAACTTGCCCAAATGTGTTCCAAAGTCCTAAATTTTGAAGTTTTTTTTCATTATTTTGTGTACAATTCATTGTACATGCACGACCAATAAATTTTTGATGACTCTACTTTCGAGAATGATTTTGAGTGGCTTGGTCAATGTATGAAAAGCTGTAGA